CAGGCGCCTGCCACAACGCCCCGCTATTTTTGTTGCAGTTTGGCTGGGGCTGGGTTTGAACCCACCACGCTTGGTATATGGGGCCCGCGCCCTACTCACTGAGCCACAGGTGCCGCCCAACACCTCCACTTCTTGAAAGGCAGAGTAGCGAAGTCACCGATTATAGAGGTGTGTGTGAACAGGATGAGAAGACTTACTGCACTCCTCTTTGGAAACAGTCTGCTATAGACACTCAGAATGATCATTTAAGAAAAATTCAACAAATATAAGTTTGAATTTTCTTTTGGGGTAGCTGCTAAGAGGATGGTGTGGCAGGGAACAAATAAGGTTTTTAAAAAATGTTTCATGGCCAGATATGGTGTTGCACACCTGTAGTCCTAGCACTCCGGGTGGCCAAGGCCGGTGGATTGCTTGAGCTCAGGAGCTCGAGACCAGCCTGAGCAAGAGCCAGGCGGGAGGCAAGAGAATCACTTGAGCGCAAGAGTTTGAAGTTGCTGTGAGCTATGATAGTGTGGCAGTCTACTTGAGGAGATAGAGTAAGACTCTGTCTCTAACAACAACAACAAAAAAGTTTTCCTATCTGCTTCCATTTCACAATTGCCTGAGCCTGAAACCTTCAAGGCTATTAGTCTTACTTTAGGGATGAGGTAGAGGTTGCGTCTTATCAAGGATTTTCACAAACTTTTACTTTGCTTTGGGGAGGGAAAATAAAGACATCTGACTCCCTCCACCAATTTACTCCCAGCACTTATGCAAGGAAAACTTAGCAAGGGTCTGGATGTTGGTGTATTTAGTCCTTATTTCTCTCCTGCTTTCAACTAAAAAATACGTAAGTTAATCATAATTGGAACTGTTTTAAATCTCATATTCACAGAATTGTATGAGATGCTTTTTTAAATGGATGCAGAAGGCCCACGTATAGACACTGCTAGATTCTGAGTCACATGAAAATATTATCAAGGAATTGATAAAGGAACGTGCTCTCTGCTCTCTAGAAGACTTCAGTTTCCCAGGAAATTATATTCAAGCCAAGTTTAGACTGATCCAATTAAGTAGAAAAATTACATGGATAATTATTATATTTCAGAAATATAATAATTGGACTAAGATTTGGAAAATGAAACAATAGCCAATTTGTTTTTTTAAAATGAGGATTCCTGATACCAGCGATTATAGCTGATATTTAAAGATGCTTTTCCCCATTATAAAAGTCTGTCAAGATTCCCAGTTTAATTCAGTTGCACCTTAAATCGTTTGCAGGTAAATTATGAAGTTTATGACTTTTCCTTAACCCCAGCTGGTCTTTCCTCCTCCTCCCCCAGCGTACTATTGTTTTCTGCTTTCATCATCAGCCTCGGACGGTGCCTGTGGCTTACTGGGTAAGGGCACCGGCCCCATATACCGAGGATGGTGGGTTCAAACCCAGCCCCAGCCAAACTTCAACAGAAAAGTAGCCGTGCGTCGTGGCGGGCGCCTGTAGTCCCAGGTACTCGGAGGGCTGAGTCAAGAGAATCGCCTAAGCCTAGGAATTGGAGGTTGCTGCGAGTTGTGATGCCACAGCACTCTGCCGAGGGTGATACAGTGAGACTCTGTCTCTTAAAAAAACAAACAAAATCAGCCTCATCCTAATATTTCTTCAGGAAAAGCTTGGGAAAAATTTATGGCACACAAAAACGAGGCCTTTATTTCCTCTATTCATGGCTCACTATAGTTTCTCAAAACATGTACCGGTCCATTTTCTAAGGTACCAAAGTCTTATTTGAGAATAATATTTTACAGATTAGGTAAATTTTTATAGCAAAAAGCAAATGAAAAACCCAATTTGTGATGAATATGGAAGCTAATTAGCTATTTATATATCTTCATTGAAATCATTTTCATTTTTATAATTCATATATAAATAGTTCATTAAAGTGAAAAGAATGAAAAGTTCTTTTTCTAAAAACTACTTAAATCTACTGATCTTTGAGCTTACTCTGAGACATCTATTAATATATGGTCTGATGCAACTGGCAAACTTTAAAAGGCATAACTGCCCTTGACTCTGAGAGCTAGAATGGCAAGTGCCAGTAGATCTAGAATTGATTGTCACTGAATTTCCAGACCAGTCCTCTTTATCACACCATTATATTTTCGGTACTAAGAAGGAAGGAAATGGAACATCCTGGAGAAAAGAATAGGAAGCACAATTTTTTTTTTTTTTTTTGAGACAGAGCCTCAAGCTGTCCCCCTGGGTAGAGTGCCGTGGCATTACAGCTCACAGCAACCTCCAACTCCTGGGCTCAAGCGAGTCTCCTGCCTCAGCCTCCCAAGTAGCTGGGACTACAGGCGCCCACCACAACGCCCGGCTATTTTTTGGTTGCAGCCATCATTGTTGTTTGGCGGGTCCGGGCTGGGGATTCGAACCCGCCACCTTAGGTGTACGTGG